ACAACAAACCTGATTGGTAATTGCAGATAATATAAAGCATATAGATATCCTAAACACACATATGCATCGAATAGATACCATTAAATGATGAACAGATCGTGTCTTTTTAAGTTATTTAAATCTCAAAATCTGACGGCACGAATTCGCACTCCCGTACTAAAAGGGTGAAAGTATCAATTTCTTCGAGTAACTATGCAAATCTGGAAATAAATTCATTATATCCATTATGTAGTTAAAATAAAACTGGTCTTCTATCATTTATGAGAAGACAAGCTTTTGTCCGTCAAATTGATGTTAAGAGAACAGTAGACATTAGTACAGCAATCATAGCAAAGCCTGCTAACAATAAATAACAGATTAATCTTCGATATTATAGATCATCAAATGATTAACGGTTGTATGTAGCTATCTTCTAAATTATATCTTGGCAAGTTTATCAAATGTACACCGGGAAAAGCATACATTTTATAGAGAAATATGTTGTCTACTTTAGTGGAAAGAGAAATCATTTTTAAATAATCAGATATATAATCTGGCAGATATGTATAAAGAAGCGAATTGCCATTTTACGTTCTATGTCATTCTTCATGCTCTTTAACATTGATTACTGAATGCAGAAGACAAAACAAGTTGTTCTGTAATGACAGTGCACCTACAACTACTGATAAAATACATTTTACATCAACATATTCGGAAGAAATAAAAAATAAAACACGAATGAAACTAGATGAGAACCTCTTACACATGCATCATTGAGTGTTTTAGACATTACTGTTTTATTAAGAAGTTGCTGTTTTTATGACTGTTGACGATAAGTAAATCATGATAACTTTTTTTGACTCTTTACTACTGTACACGATTAAAAAAAACCTACTGACAACATTTTTCGTCTCTATTCGGTCAATTGGACAAGGTTTTGAAAAACTATATTCGTTTTTTCTTATAACAAGCGCTCTACCAATCCTTTAGAGTGTTGCCACATACCGCTGCAGCTGCCGCGTGGTGTGAGCGTAGAATGTGGAGTGTGTATGGCAAGAGGTTAATCTTTGACACCCGTACCAAAATACATTCACTGTTTTCCATCTCACATCACAGAGCAATTCGGCGGAAGGTTTTTCCATAATTGAATAGTTCTTGTATGCTATGAAAAAGACACTCTGTTCGAATCATCTTCAAGTTTGATTAAATTTTAGATTACTTCAAGTCTGCTTTCAAGAAACAAAATATTCCTAGTGTGTCATCCAAAAGAATCTAGCAGATACAGAATGTTTCACACTATCGAAAGTGTTGAAAAACAGACGGCATCAGAGTTTAATAAATCAACATGTGTACTAGCTACGTGTTTCTATACCTAATAATGACATTGTCAAATATATAATTTATGGTAACTTGAGAGATGTTAAGCGATTCAAAGGTGATTATGAGAATACGCACTTATTTTTCACAAAAGTACTGGAATTAGAAAAAGACATAAGTGGATTGAATTAGCGCGATATTTGTACAATATACGCAAACTTCGCCTTACTACACGAAAGCATGGGAAACTATTCTTCGGCACTCTCAATGAATCTACACATACTTGACATTCAACAGAAATATAGCTATTTTAATCAGAATATATTACCTATTGTATACAACAATATCGATACCATTCATTCGTATACGGGCAAGGATATGACTGCACTTTCGTTCTACCAAAAAGCAATAGCAATATATAAAACACATCTTCCAGAAAATTATCCACATTTATCTAACACTTATCATTGTATCACTGAAACATATAGAAGTATGGGAGAATACTCGATGACTGTCTCTTATTGTTAAAGGGCACTGGATATTGAATAAATGTCACTTTCTCCTGATCATACAGATCTGGCTCGAACTTATAAGAATATGAACGGTTACAAGACCCACATGGGAGAATACACCAGTGCAATATTACTTCATCAGAAATCACTTGGCATAAGACAAAAATTTCTTCGTCCATATCATTCTAGTATGGCTCTTATTTACAGAAACATGGCTTATGCGCATTACAATCTGGAAGAGAACTCAACTGTATTTATCTTGTATATGAAGACACTGGAAATTATCCACATAAATCCGTCATTTGATAACTAACGCCTTGCAAGCATTTACAATGACAATGATCGTACACATGTGAATATGGATGATCACGCCAGTGCACTTACATTTTACAAAAAGCCGTCTATATTAAAGAGAAATATCTTCGACCTAATCATCTTGATCTTAACGACGCATATGAACACGTTGATGAACAACAGCGTATCATAGGGTACTACTCTCAGGCATTCTTGTCCTTTGGGAAAGTCGCTGAAACAAGAGAGAAAACTCTACCTCTTCAAATCATCCTAGTCTAGCATTCATCTACAGAAGTACAGAAGACACTAAAAATTCGACAAAGTGTATGTTCTTCGGATAACACAGCTATGAAAAATATCTACAACAATATCGACAAAGCACACAAAAAGAACAAAGAATATCCTACTGTTCTATCATTTTTTAACAAGGCATAAGAAATGCAAAAGAGAACATTGCCTGAGAACCATCTGCTACTGATTCATAATTACCTAAAACTTGCCCATATCTATTATCAAAGAAAAATTCATATATATGGAACTTACTGGATACTCACATTCCTTTATTATTGACAAATATCCAGATCTCAAGTAAGACCGAAAGGAACCCTAATGTATTTCAAGCCAAAAGTCGGAACTTCATACATGAGTGATTACTGAATAGAAAGAGTATGTGCATGAAAGTAATTGGATGTCGAATATTCAAATATAAGGCAGGAAAATATCGGATCGCAGATGCTGACAGTATGACAAAATGAAGGTAGGGTGTGCATAAACTAACCAGATGAGGGTGTGTGGGTGCAAGTGTTGGTGTAGGCATCGGCTCGACTTTGTGCTAATTATATATCCACATTCAATCGCGCACAGCACCCACATCCAAATCGATGGGATCCGCGCTCGAATAAACTTTAGAAAAAGATAAAATTTATTCTTGTTCGATTATCTAAGAACTTCTTGTCTATATAAGAAGATGATTATTGTTTCTCGATTGTAGTCAAGAAATATGACATGTAATCAATAAATTCATGCTGATTTGAATCAATTATACGCTATGCTTTATGTAGATTTGTTCTTTTCAAGAAGCGATTTGAAACTTTTGGAGTGCAAATAAACGCAAGTACATAGTATGCGGCAGGGCTAGAATCGGTTAAGAAATAGTAAACGGGTTCGGTTTGATCTATTCAAAACCGGGGGAAAATGTGGGAATCTTTTTGGAAAATGATTTTTAGAAAAAATGACTTTAAATATGAAATATTTTAGGGGCGCATGTAAAAGACACTCATCACAATGAATCTTTTTAAAGAAAACCTCAAAAAAATAATTAATATAACATGTTTTGAGCACTTTTTTATGCATTCTAACAGAAAAAACATATGACGCCTCAGTTTTTATAGCCAAGAATTAGGGTTAACAAAGAAGATTTTTCCAAACTTTCAATCGGTGAAATCTCGGTATCTATCGGGTAGCACAGCTGGACAAGTCAAGTCAAGTCTGACTTGACTTGTAACTCGAGAAACCTCTGACTTGCCTAGTTCTGATCTGCCGGCCTCGTTGACTTCCTGAACCAGTCCGACCGGATCGGTTCCAACCCTGGTATACAGTACAATATCTGTGATCTCGAATAGGATCAAATCCATCTGGAGAGATGTACCGCCTCCTTCAGACTTCATGCTAATAAAACGCTGAATCATAAAAATTGATGAAATTTTCTTTCGTTTATATCAAAAAACATATATGCTACATATATAAGAAAAAAAGATTAAAAAACATTTTCGTTTTAGTTTTTTTCAAATGTCTAAGCACTGAATACCAAAGATATTTGTAAACTTCAAACGATATTGCACGGTTTAGAATCTATCCAACACACGAAACGTTGTGATTGAATATCTGCTCGTAGATTCTTCAAGTTAATTTACTATTTAAACGTTTTCTAGGATTGTGTTGTGAGGTTGTTTTAGGCATCAACGGCATACAACAGATACTCTGAACCACATCTTGACTAAGTTTCTTTTTTCTCATGGAAATGTCAATATCTGACATCGATTCATTGAAAGGAAGGCCAGAAAGTTCTTCTAAAGAAAAAAGAATTAAAATATAAAAAAATATTCTATTTAATAAAAACAAGTTATGCATACCATTCGAGAAGTTCATATATAAATAAGTTGATTCATGAATTTTTTGATTTTTATAGTAAATAATTACACTTGCTTTTATATTATTTATACATAGATATGGAAAAGGCGGCATATTAAAATAAATAACATTACCATTTAAGATAAATTTTTTTATTTCGTTAGACCATTGAGTTGTTTGTTCACAAATCATAATAGATAAATCATCTTNAAAAAAAATAATTAAGAGATATATGCAACGAATGGATAGTGATGAGCATAGAGAAAGAATTTTTTCTGTAACGAACAGAACGAAAGAAATTTATCTGCGACGAACAGAAAGAAAAAAATTCTGCGACGAAGTGTCGTGCGACGAAGTGATCGTGTGACGAAGTGAATGCGACGAAGTGAATGCGACGAAGTGAATGCGACGAAGTGTCGTGCGACGAAGTGATCGGTCACCACCCAGCCAGTTTTGCAATTGATCTTTGCGCCAGGCTCGCTTTGGTGGCTTCGTATCATCAGCCAACTCATTGTGCCAAGTTGCATTGTCGATGATAATACAAATACGTGGAGCATCACCCAACTTACGACGTAAATTCTGAGAAGTATGACGGATCCAGTTTACAAAGTGCACTGAGCTCATCGTGTGATCTGCATCAGAATCAAATATATCAATAGAATCTATATCAAAACCTTGCTCATTTATCATCGCACTGATGGCCACTCGTTTTCCTAAAGTTTAAAGAAAAATTCATTTAAACCTGAACCATTATAGGAAAATATTACTCTAACCTTTTCCTTCACTCTTACGTAAGCGACCAGCTCCTGTTTCATCAATCCACACTGATCGTTTCTCTTCTCCTGCATTCGTCCAAGTTTCGTCGTGATAAAACATTAAGACATTATCTTCTCTAAATTCATCTAATTTTCGAAAATAATAAGTCCGCTGTGCCATAAAGGAGACGCTATCGAGAGGAATTGATAGCTTCGATGGTGCTTTATAAGAGAAGCCTATTCGTTTAAGATGGCACCAGCGAGATGTGATGGAAGTAACAGGAAAATCGGTGTAGAAACCAAGAAGCCGTTGAAGAAGCAGTTCTGTTGTGAGATATGTCTTTTCAGCGAGTAGAAGATGAAATGTGTACCGAATACACTCATCGGCTTCTTCGGAAAGACGTGTAGCTACACTACCAAGTTTCTTCTTTTGTGGCTGTGGATTTGGTACAGTTATAATATTGAATATTGCAGAGGCTGAGAGATTACGCTTTTGACGGGCGGAAGGATTCTTTGCCGATAATGAGACCGTGCTAGTAGATGTCGATGGAAATGACGAAATTTTAGTCACAGAAGCGGAGCGCGATCGAAGAGTAAGACGCTTTTGTTCAATCATTTTTTCTGCAATTTCGTCTTCTTCTTCAACTTGTTTTGCTTCTTCTTCTTCTTCAATCTCTTTATCTTTCGTTTTCAATTCGGTCTTCAGATTGAAAAGTGATCGTCGAGAAATATTAAGCATAGCAAGAATGCGAGCCATGGTCAGATTAAGTGGAATGGTTGGTCCATTCTTCTCTTTTTCAACAAATTTAATAACACGAAAGTATACTTCTTTGAGTCCGACTGAAAACTCTTTAGGCATTGTAACACAAATCACGTGTTTATTTATGCGATCCTTCGATAAGTGTCACTTGTCGATGTCAGAACTGAGAATAAGAAGAGAAACGAAGAGTACACACTATATAAGCAGCATGTACTCATTATAATTCGTCCGCGGCTGATTGATTTCATTACACACACACTATTATATCGGTGAGTCACGGACTTGTCATAATGAACGGATACCGTCTATAGTGTATATTCGCCCTTTCATTGTTGTTCTCATTTCTGATACTGATAACTGATATTTATCGAACACTTCAGTAAATGATATGCAATGTTTTTGGAAATAAACAATGATATTTATAGCAGATATATACTTGCTGGCATACCCATTGTTAGTGAGTTGACGCAACCGATTTGCTCAGTAAAAGGCAAACATCTGCAACCAGTGTTTCGTAGTGGGAATGGAGTTAATCGATATGATGAGGATAGTGAAAACCCCCACTTTCATAGATAATTTGTAGCATCAAAAGGTCTACTTAATTACTAATAAGCTTTTTTTACGAATCAGAAAAGAATGCTAGATGAGAATAAACATTGCCACGATGATCATCATCGTTGATTACCCCTATAATCAGCTGAATTTCATTCAAACAATGTAAAAATATTGGCTTAGGTAGACTTTAGCAAAATGCCTGTAACTCCGTAACGGTAAACGCTAGAAAGCTGGGGTTGGTGTCAAATGATAAATAATCGTCTGCTTTGTTAAACCTATGGCAACAAGCTCAATGCCAAAGCGATTGATGATGCTCAGGCAAAATGCGGCGAATTTCTCAGACAGATGACCTTGAACTTTGTGGTAATAGCGTTTTGTTCATATTTCCATATAAAGTTACCGGTCCTTTATTCAACGGTGAAAACCGCAGGTTTCTATCTGTTTTCTAGCGAGAGTTATTAAATTCGCAACGGAGTTCGCTGTTCATTGAAATGGATAGTAATTAGAAATCTCTTAATCAATACTTTTATTTATTAATAATCAAGTTTATTTCATTTATCTGACATAGAATAAAAAACAAAACATTTATTTTCTACGATTTTGCCATTTTTGATAGACTCGTGATGACTGCTCTTCACTGACATGTTGATCTTCCATTAGATCATAAGTGGTCTCTGCTGTTGGCATGGCACTAGCAAAAGCAGCTGGAGGAGTTGGCAGTTTTGATGAAATTACACTTTTCATTTCGTTCATATCGACACATTTTGAATAGCAATCTTGGGCTAAAGATGATGTAGCACCAAAAGAATTATGCATTTGTTTTGCACGCATATTTTTCGAAGCGAAAATATTATTGATTCGTTTAGCTTTTTCTTCTTCACTAGCTCCTTCAGCTTCAGCTTTTTGCATTTCACGATCAATATCTGCTTGAGCTTCTTGCATTAAACGTTCTAGTGATATTTCTTCACGTACTCCACCAATAATAACTTTTGCTAAAAGTTTTGAAGTAACCATTGGAACATATTGACCACCAGTAATATAAGCCAATGACATGAAAAAATCACGATAACGAACTAAAGAAAAGTAATAACATATTTTGAAATTTATTATAAAAATCAAAATAACTTACCAATAGGCGGTTCAATACCAACAACATAGAGTGTAATGCGTTTTGCAGCCATTTCTCGAACAACTTTGATTGGATCAAGACCAACTGGACAACCATTTGGAAAATCATCGCCATTTGGATCAAGTCCATGTGGTCGTGCATCCGAAATAAGAACACAAATTTTAGTAGATTCAGCACGCCATGATAATTTAAGAGCATCATGAAGTGCATCGGCAACTGCTTCAGGCGCGTCACCACCACCTTGTGCTTGACAATGTTCTAGCCAACGTTTCATTTTATTGCGTTTGGCTGTAAAATCATGCACGCGTGTAACAAAGGTAGTATCCTAATCAAATAAAAATGAATTATATCATAAAGCGTGTTTTTTCTTTTTAGTTTACAGTTACTTGTGGTGGATGATCCCGATATTCGATAAGTGCTAAACGAATATCACTTTTTTCACTGGCAACTATTTCTTCTACAATAGAACGAATATTACTCCTTGCACTATCAATATATGATCCCATCGAAGCTGTACAATCCATGATAAAGACGAGATCTATAAATAATCGTAAAAAAAATTAAATTAATTATTAAAGAACACAAACTTACCTAGAATAGCTGAATCATGTTTAGCTAATTCAGGTCGATCAACTTTTTCGATGTCAACAACTGCTCCCATTGCTGAATAGGTGTTACTTGTTTTTATCGTCGATAAAAAAAAGAGAATAATGTATGGTAGTCACTTTTTATATGTTGCTCTTATTTTGATTTATGTGTAACAATTTTAAGATGAATGATATATTTTTAACAGCAGAGATAAAATTCATCTAAAATCTTATCCATTTATTTAAATAAGTGACGTACGTTTCGCAATATTGAGTTGCATCATCAGGGTGTGAGTGTGGATTAATGGATGTGGCTGTGAGGTGGGTGCGGAGTGTCGATGTGGATGTCGCTGAAAAATCGAACTACACCCACACCCACACCCACACCCACACCCTAGGATTGTAAATCATCGACCAGGTTTATGATAAAATACACCATGTATACAGCTAGTACTTCAGTATATACGACTGTCAAGTCGCCATATTTGCACTATTTACAGCTCGTATACAAGAATAGTCATCAATCAGCTTCAATAGACAGAAGAACGTAATTTAGTATTCTTTTCAAAAAATGACTGCTTATCGAATAAATGAAGTACTTCTTTTTCATTTATAAATCTACCGTCTTATCTTTAGTAGTACATCAAACCATATATATATATTGTGTAGTATTATCAGCAGATGCAGAAAAGAAAAGCGCACATTTTGTAAACCTCAAAAACATGTCCCTTCAATCTTGGTTTTATCGTTCACTCTTTTACTTTCATGGGCTTATTACTATATCTGAATTTGTGCTTACTATTGTACTATTCTTCCTCATCCTTATTGCTAAACCTGAATTATTCTTTCAAATCAAGCATCCTGACGATCATGACTGAGAATTAATTAGGGTGTGGGTGTGCGTGTGGGTGTGGGTGTGGGGTGTGGGTGGTGCGTGGGTGTGGGTGTGGGGGTGGGTGTGGATGTGGTTGTAGATGTGAGTGTGGTGTGGTTGTGAGGGTTGGCCCGCTTTTTCATCCACACGCCACACCCCACACCACACACCCACACCCACACCGACACCCACCCACACCCACACCCACATCCACACCCCACCCACACCCAAATTTGGGATTTCTTAATAAATTTTTATTCTCTTTCAAACTAGCTAACTCATTTCAAAAATTAAAATCTTTGGCAACTCGTTTGGATCGTGATCTCCTGGACACTCTGTCTTAATCTCTTGGTCTTGGGCTATGATTACAAACATAGAAGGAAGTTTTTTACGGCTATGGTAGATATCCATTGACTATAATCCATGGATTTTTACTTCGTATAATCTTGAGATAAATCATGAAAATCTTGTCCTAAAGGAAGGAAAGCATATGAGATTAGATTTGACCAACTCCACTGAATCATATGTCGAAGGAAAGAAACTGTTGATAACTAACATTTTAGTGCTAGTGTCATGAAGTTTTTATCATATTTCAAAATCTAAAACTCGAAACAAACCAAGGAATCTTAGGATTACAAATTCTAATAAGTCATTGTATTAAAAAGCTGCCGAATGATAGATACTTTTCAAAGTTAAAACCATCTGATCACTAAAAAGATCCTTAAGAACACTATTCTAGAGGTGCGGTTTTATGTCTTTTTCATGAATGTTGCGAAAGTTTGAACTTGAAAAATGTGAGTTCGTCTTAATGTGATTCGAAGAATTTCTAAACTGTTTTTTCTCCCATTGAAACATTTTGCCTGTTGTTCCTCTACGAGGCTGGACGAAAAATAAATTGCATTAAAACATCAGTTGAACATTGCAAAAAAAAAATTCTCGAAAGCTGTTGAAAGTTATTATATGGCAAAATAAGAAGCGCCTATCGAATAAAAGCAGTTTTTATATTCATTTCATTCTTTTGGTCCGATCTCTAAGAGGAACAATAGGCAAAATGTTTCAATTAAAGAAAAGTCAGTTCTATGGATTCTTGGAACTGCACTTAGATAAACTCAAATTCTTCGGGTTCAAATCTTCGAAATATTGATGAAAAGAACATAAAACTGCACCTCTAGAATAGTGTTCTTAAGGATCTTTTAATTGATAAGATAGTTTTAACTTTGAAACATATATCATTCGGTAGCTTTTTAAAAAAGCTACGAAAGCAGAAATATCAAGACTTGAATGATTACATTTCCTATTTTAAAATATTTATTTAAAGATAAAAGTAGATAATAATTCTAGTAAATATGTTTAGATTTTGAAATACGATCAAAACTTCGTGAAACTAGCACTAAAATGTTAGTTGTCAACAGTTTTTTTCCTTCAATATACGATTTCGTGAAGTTAGCAAAAAGTAATAATGAATTTTTATTGATCTTTTATACATCTTCTCTTCTATATTTACCATTTTTCATCGAAATAAGTAGTATTGTACATCGGTATAAGACATAATATATATGAAAAGTAAAATTTAATATTTAAAAAAACGTTTTTTTTTTGTTTTCTTCATGAGTTGATGGAATTGACTAGAAACTAATTGAAATATTATAGTAATATTACCTAAATATAATTGTTTAGTTTCTTTTTTGACAATTTTGAAATGAAAATGGAGAGAATTTTTTCTGATTCTTCGCACTTTATTAATAAAAGAAAAGAAAAAAATGTCCGGTTGAAGAACTCATATTTATTGACTTTTACCTGTTTTTTTTTAGTTAGATCGGATTTTAGACGGGCATCGTATGGAATTTTGATTGGACAATGGCGTAGATCTCTAAGAACGTTTGAATCAATAAGTACGTAAATGAAATTGACTCATAAAGTAAGATCACTTTGTTTTTCATTTAGATCAGCATGTAGATGTTTAAAAAAAAATCTTTCTGAACTAATCGAACAATTAAAAGAACTTGTCTATTTGGAGATTTTTGGTGAAATTTTTGATGAAAAAGTTGAACCTTATCGTTTAATGGCTCAAGCTCGTTTTCCAAATAGTCGAATTGATGTTGAGATATCCAGATTTCGACTTTGGATATAATTATTATTTTCTAATATCACACAGGTATAGCGTAAAAATGACTAATATCTTTTCGTTTTTCTTTAATAATAATAAGAATTTATCTATTATTGTTCGTTATTTTGTTTCTTAAATAAGAAGTAAAATTTCAATCCATTTGTAATAAAACTTTTCCTTTTCAATAAATCTCATATATGAACACAATCTCTAATCAAAAATTATATTAACAACAGAAATATCATCTGTTATCTAAGTCTATAATTAGTTAAGAATATGTTAAAATGAATTCTACAAGAACAAGAAAACAATGGTAAGTAATACAATGTATTTTGAAAAATTTCCAAACTTTATTCTATGATATTCGAAGATGAGATATTTTCTATTTAATCTAAAATAATTCAAAACTATCGAAACCAATCCGTGCGTAGAATTTTCTCTATCCTAATTGAACTTTCTTTATTGTGAAAAAGTCGAGTTAAATAATACACACGACGCTTGGACAATATTTTTTCATTAATCTTAAAGCTCTGAAACCAGTTGAATACTATTTCATTTATGAGACGTATTTCGATATTATATATTTAATTCTAAATTTTATTGAGATATTAGATTCACACATATATATCATATCAAGTGAAAAATGACCATTAAAATGTATATGAATTCGTTCATGAATCATTTTATGATCACGGATTCTAGTTTTTCGGAGTTGCGAACTGATTTAAATATGTTTATAGTTTCTAAAAACTATATGATTTACTAGTCTTTGATTACCTAACGTTCATATTTTACACATCAATCAAGAATACAGTTAGAAATTCATACTAAGTCTATGGAACTTTCGATCGTGATGAAGTCAAACTTAGGAGTAACCAGAAACAATTAGTTTTTCATGATTTTTAACAATGAAATGACAATTCTCAAATCGAGAAAAATCGTTATCTTCATAACAGTCACTGTATATAAAAGTTTTTCTTTGAAGATCGACTGTTTGTAGTTGACCATATTGTTCTCTTTTTCTAAAGAAAATTAATCTTATTTTTTGTCTCTCATATACGCGACATGTCATAGGCAACTGCTCTAATAGTGTTTTTTTTTCTGATTCGTGAAGCATGACAGAGATTCTAAAGCACGTTATCGAAGTTATAATATAGATGATTAAGAAGCAAATATGTACTATATTAGAGCAATATTAGAATTTCGATCATGTTCTGAAATGATATGAACAATATTTAGACTTCTAATTTGAATGAAGTTGAATAGTTAGAATTTGAGGATAAACTTGTAATTCTCCTATACAAAATATGCCATAATAGATAATGCTGAACATTGTTGGTTCGTATCCAAATCAAGTCATGGTCATTATTAATCTAGTTTTGATATTTATTGATTAAGTAACAATAGCCAGAAAAATCAGAATAGATACAATAATTTTTACTTGACAACATTTTTGTGAGTAAATAACATGTTCGATTCATGACGCATTAATCTGAAAATTATAAATACTTATACAAAACTCGTTTCTTCAATGACATTTTCTAAACGAAATATTCGTAATTATCTTACATTAATATTGCTGATAATAAGAAACGCTTGAACATATCTATTACAGCCTATTGGCATGTTTGACTTTTTTCCTAAGTCTTTCACTAAAAGAATTAATAGTACTCTTGATCATTCTTAAAAAATTCTTTATTGATTACTTAGATAGTTACGTCTTAGTATAATGCTACTTTTCGAGATAGTACGGGGTTGGAAAAAATATTTTTCAAGGGGAGTAACGCTATAATTCCAAATAGGAGATATGATGAATTTTATACCAAATGAAAGCCCGTGAAAAATGGGATTTAGTGATGCTAAATAATAAGACTTTGAAGAACTTTCATATATCAAATCCTCAAAAGTTACAACTTTTCACCTATATAAGACGCGACAAAACTAGTTTATCGAGTAATATTCGAATTAAATGTGTTACAAAATAGTTTATTTTTTCATTCTTTAATGAATACAATCAATAATCTGTATGATGACCGTTAGCATTCTTAACTGCACGAAGTCGAGATGGATACGAACATAGAAGAGTTTCAAATAATTCAGTATCTTCGTTCATATTAGTTAAGACATTTGCAATATGCATTTTAAGTGTGTCTTCATGATATCGATTATATTCAGTTTCCGATAACATTTTTTTTTCAACTTCATCTTTGATTATTGATCCGATATGTTCTGCCACATTAAGATCAGGTGAATTTTCTGGTCAGATATCATTACCCCAAAATTTAACATCATTGTCTTGAAGCAAATGCTGGGTTTTATTTGCTAGCATACATGGTGCTTTATCATGAACAAATATAACTTCATCAGGATCAATAACATTATCTTCATTTTTTAAGAAGGGAAATACATTTTGAGTCAAAATTATATCACAAAAGTATTGACCAGTCCAAGATTCACCTTTATCTTTGATAACCCAAAGTAATCTTTTGCAAATAAACATTATAAAAACTCCTATACATGATTGATTTTTTACCATTTCACGATATCTTTCATCTTCTTCAATGTCTTCAATACTTCTCGCCCAAATTCGATCATTCTGATAATTTGGCCTACGGACAGTCCGGACATAAAATTCATTAGATGGTGCCAGATGAAGAAACTGTTCTACAGTCCAATCTTTTAACCAGTTGCATAGCTATAATCGGTCTGATATATGAGTTTCAGATTTTAACGGTTTTGGAATAACATGAAATGGTTTTAATCCTTCTCTATGGCGGTAATTATTAACTGTTCTTAGAGTGACATATTCT